CTCGGCTCCCACCCGCTGCAGCCCCGCCCCGGCCCAATCAGATTGGCCCTCAGCGGATCCCGTCCCGCCCCCGGCTAAGTCTCATTGGACATCTCGGAAACGGCGGTTCGTCAGGCCCCTGGGGGCGGGGCTTCCAGCGCGCTGGGGCGGGGGGAGGAGGAGCCAGGACCCCGCGAGTCCCCCGAAGCGCCTCCAGCTGATGGGGCCCCGGCCCTCGGCCCTCGGCCCTCGGGGCCTGACAAGCCGTAGGGCAGCGTGGGGGCTGGAGAGCAGACCTGGTGTCCCAAGGCCTTCCTGGCCATGACCCAAGGCAGCCTCAGCTTCCTCATCTACCAAAAAGGGCTAATACCCGTCACGACGGGGTTATGAGAAAATGGAAGCAAGCGTTGTTACACTACAGCCGTTACCATGGACAGCGCTGGCCTCACGTCGTAGTCCAGCTACGGAGAAACTACTTGCCTAGAGCCAGTTCTGATTTAGGGCGAGTAAGGATAATTTTTATTAGATTTGGTACCTGTCGGCAAGACAGGTTCCTAATCCCAGGATATATCATTCCCTTCCTTAGTAACTTTTAGCTTCGCCTGTGCCTGTTCCTTTCAATTAAATGTAGACTTCTTAGCCTGGGGCCCAGGGCTCCCCACACCCAATTTCACCTGCTTTCCAGCCTCACCTCGTCATGCCCTCAGCTCTGATTGGAAGGCTGGAGCCACAGATCTGAGTCCCCATCTCTCTACTTTTCTCACAGGCTTCCTTCCCCACCCCAATCCTGCCCTATCTTATCCTTCTTCCATTCTTTGTCCCACCCTAAATCCCACCTGCAAACTCTTCTCTAATTTCCTCACTTATGCCTGCTACGGAGTTGTCATTTTTTACAATTTTTTTCACATTTCTTTCCCGGCCCTTAGACTACTCACCCACCAAGGATCGTTACTTCACTCCCTCTACTCCTGGCCTACTTCCATGTGAAAAGTGTGAGGACAGAGGCTGCCTTCTGTTCCTAACACAATTCCCAACACAGCACTTACTGAAGGCAATGCCCAGGCGACCATTAGGTAAAAGTGGCTTTCAGACTGTTCCAGAAAACCCTAAAGATATTTCAGGGGGTTTAGAACTGATTCAAATCTTAAACAAACTTCAAAACACACTCAAGTGAGATACATAACATCCACTACGGAAGCTGTCAAAATGTTAGCTGCAGAGAAACTCATCCTTGTGCATATATCCATGCTGAGGAAGGCTACAGTGCCACATCGTGGGGTAAGCTCACACACGCCGCACTTGAATGAACAAGGGTAAGCAAGGTTACCGTGCCTCTGCTTATGCTCATTACTCAAAAGCTTTCGTGTGTCCCATCGTAGTCATTAGTTTTCCTGTCATTCTTTTATATTTATATAATAGTCAAGCTTCTGAACCTGTTTTAAGTATCACAAATTGCAAAGTCAACTGTTATATACCTGTTACCACTTGCATATACAAGTCCAGCAGAATTTCCTCCAAATCAACCAAATTACAAAAATTAACGGGATGCTAAAGTTGACTTTAACTCAAATTTTGTATTAACCGAAACATTATTTCTTATAAGGAAGTTATAACTTGCTTTATGACATAAATTAAAACATGTAATTTTGTATCTGCTTCAGATTGGGGTTCAGCAAAAAATTAATTTGGGGGAAGAGGTTATATTTATAAACATTTAAAAATCACTGTCCTAAGAAAGTTTTAAGATGAAGTGGCCTTCAAAATCAGGGAGTCAGGAGATAAACCATCCAGCAGAGGGCTCTGTGTAAAAATGTTTATTTGTACTAATGTTTAGAATACAGGAACCAAGAGAGAGAGCGAGGAAGAAAAAAGACACAACTCCAAAGCGACAGTGAATTAGGGCCTGCCCATAGCCAAGGGGAAGGCCACTCCAGCGTGTCCTGGCATGGAGTGTCCCTCCCAGTATTTAATGTCAGTGTCACCAGCCAGAAAACTGAGGAATCAGGATGTGAAGACCTTACCAGCTGCTAGCGAGCGTGCAAGGGAAGAATGGGACGTCTATGTGGCTTCCCTGTGACCCCGGGGCCAGGATGCACAGAGTAGGAGGCAGAGGCTCCCAATTCAGTTAAGGGCAGGAGCTGAATGCCCAGGTCCAGGAAGAACAAAAAGGGGATTTTGGAGGTAGGCTTTTTCATCGAGTTAAAAAACAGGCACATTATCCAACGTCTCCCTGTGACCTCTAAGTGGCTGGCCCGGCCCCCCAATGCTTCCCCTCTCCCCACAAAACCAAAGGGAATGAGGAGGCGGAAGGTAGGAAATTCCAAGGGTGGGGAATGCTGTGGCCACTAGAGACCACCTGTGAGAGTGAGCCAGGTAAGCACGAGGAAGACTCGGGGTGAAGCTGCTACCCTCCTAGGGTGGGACAAGGCAGAGCCCAGAGGGTGACCAAGAACATCCTGGTGCGGGCAAAGGATCCTGGGTAGCAGGAATAGGGCCACAGTGCCCCTCTGGGGGAAGGAGGCGGTGGGGATAAGCAGCAGGAAGGGCATGGAAAGTCCTTCCAAGCGCCACCTCCGCTTGCTCAGTTGCTCGCTCCCTGCTACGCCTGGCAAAGAGGCCCTGGCCTGGCTCACCTCTAGAGGAAGGGAAAACCCCAGGGACCAGAGTGGAGGCAAAGCGGAGAGAGAACTGAGATGCCCCCCACTCTTTCTCCGAGGACACTGTCTGAACCCTGTGATCACCAGGCCGGGGCCCAAGGCAGGCAGAGTGAATGCACTTCGTGGAGAGCCGCGAGAAGCAGGATCCGCAGGTGCACCCTGGGGTGGGCGGTGTGCTGTTCCGTTCTCCCGAGGGCGTGGGGCCAGAGGCAGGCAGAGCTGCCACCTCAGCTTGCTGCTGCCAAAGGCAGGTTGGCACGACCACCCCAGGTTCTCTGGACTTGTGAAAGAGAGGAGGAAGGGAAAGGTGGGTATGAGAAACAAGAGAGGAGGAGAGAAACAGCCCTAGATGCATGGGAGGAGCATGGGTGGCCACATCAAGAGGCGTTCTGGTTCTGGTAGATGGAAGCTTTCTCCTTCAGCAGGTCCAGACACAAGTGGCAGCTCCAACTTCCTGCAGAGAAGCACAATGGGGTTAGGGTGGGTCCCAGGTGGGTCTCGCCCAACCCTCACCTGCTGTGCTTCCACTCCCACCTCACCCCTACCTAGTAGCACGATGGGCTACAGGCAGGATGGAAGGCGTTCTGCAGCAGCAAAAGTTTCCGTTATCCCGAGCTGGGAGAAACCACTAGGTCTTCAAATATCATGAAAAATAATTCTCAACAGATATAGAAGGGCCTGGGCAGATACAATTTCTTAAAGCATCCTAGCTTTAGATCTGTGATTATAGAACTAGACTTAGTTCTCATGGCCCCAATGGTTAGAATAAAGATCATGAATAAGGGCTCTAGGAAAACCAATTTTGATTCCATACAAGATAGCTTTTTGTGAAAACCATGGAAAGATGAGATGGGCGATCCACCATCACTAGGTGTTTAAGTAAAGGCTGAGAACCCAGAGGAGAAGGGGGTGAACTATGAAGACTCAACTTGGTAGGCTCAAGTCCAGTTTCATAGAAAAACAAGAAATCACGTCCCTTACAAGAAAAATAACTGGCTCATACCTTGTTTATTAATATTTACTATGATTGGATTCTTCTATGTTTTAAGATATAGAATTAGCCCTTAATACCTTAAAATTATAAGCATAATTATACATATGTGTATTTGGACATTATTCTGGGAGAAAAGAATCCACAGCTTTTCTCAGCTCTTCAGAGATAAGTGAATGAAAAATATAAGGTCCTTTCTAACCCAAAGGTCAACATTCAGAAGAGGGCTGACACACTTTTCTGTGAAGAGTTATATATTTTAGGCTCTGTGAGCTACATAGAGCTTTGGTTATTTTTTAAAACTCTCTCCAAAAATGGGAAAATATTCTTAGCTTGAGAGCTATACAAACTGGTTGCAACTGGATTTGGCCATGGGGCACAGTTTGCCAACCCCTGACCTAGAGTCCACACTGTCTGATGGCTTCTACGGGATCCCCCTTCAGCTGCCTGCGGCTCTCCACTACCTCAGTGTCTGACGGTAGTTTAAGAGGAAAGCTCTTCTACAGTTAATGTAGAATTCTGTCTGTGAATTGATATCTTATGGTTAAAAAAATAAAACACGGAACTCACTACTTCTCCTCAAAGTAGATTTATAAACTCAGCATGACAGATGACAAGAGCTGAATGCTAGATGACAAGGGCTGAATGCTCCCCTGCAGCTGCTAAAGAACTCTCAGACTTCGTTAGTGGCCTCCTTCTCTAGGGGGTGACAGCAGTTTGACCTGTATCACAAATCAGCTTATATCACACAGTGAGCCTGGAATGCTGGCCCACATCCTTTGTGCTGGGGCATTCACATCCTCCCGAGTAAGCTCCCGAATTTCTATAAAGGGAGGGGGTTTAGCACAGAAATCTGGCTAGAAGGAGACTGGTAGAGAGGCAGCCACTGTTTGCTGCCTCAAAAAGCTTTTTCCTCACAAAGCTTCCATAAACTTGGAGTATTATTCTGCAAACTAATGGAGGACTGTAGTACCCATACAGGCTCCAGGTTCAATACCCATCCAGGTCGGGTGGAAATGAACTCAATTTTGTCAAGTTCAAAGAGCTGATATTGAAGCATCACATCAGATAAGCTATGAACTGAGTTTCCAGGACTGGCTGGAAGAAAACAAATCACTCCCTCCAGTAACTGTCCTCTGCTTAGCATCTGCTCTCTCCGGGTGCTGATATTGTGTTCACAAATGTATCTGGTGATACTATGCAAACCCTCAAGCTGAAATCCTAGGAAAATATTCTAACCTGAGTGAAAGCAAAGTGCCTACTCTCTAATTTCGAAGGATATGTCACTGATAAGGATTTATCACCACTCACTTATTGTTCAGGTGATGGTCCAAGTTACTAAAATAATTGCTGAGTGAAAGATCCGGGCAACCTACCTTCAGGGGGTTCAGACATGGACGGGGTAAGACAGTACATGTGGTAGCCACGATCGCAGTCATCACAGAAGAGCAGCTGGTCCTAGAGAAGGCAAGATAGAAGAGGAAGTGAGAAGGTGAATGAGTAATGGTGAATGACTAATGGGCCTCGGTCCACTGGGGACAGGTAGGAACGAGGGCATCTGTAGACGCTGCTGCTACTTCCAAGATGGATGGGACAGGTGGCAGTTAAGAATAGACATGGGCATCTCTGGAGAGAAAGCTGCTGTTGTCCATCTCCTTCCAACTGAGTCACTGTCATCCCACCTGGACCCTACCAGCTGCCGAACTAATCTCATGGTCTTCTCTGTGTGCCCTACAACGGGGGTCCCCAACCCCTGGGCCATTCCTGTTAGGAACCGGGCTACACAGCAGGACGTGAGTGGCAGGCGAGCAAGCAAAGATTCGTCTGTACTTGCAGCTGCTCCTCAGTGCTAGCATCACCCCTAGGCTCCGCCTAAGATCATGAGGTGTTAGATTCTCATGGGAGCACCAGCTCCTGGTGCCAAAAAGGTTGGGGACCATTGCCCTACAATCTATTCTCCACAGAGCAGCCAAAGTTATCTTTTTAAAATAAAAGACAGGCCACATCACTCCCATGATTAAAGCCTCAGATCTGGTGGTGCCTGCCTTCCAATCTCATCTTCTACCTGCCCCATCAACGCAGGAAGTCTACGGCTAGGCACACGTGCTTGTCCACTGTTAAGACCTTTGCACTCGTTACTCCTTTCCTGGAAATTCTCTCCCTCCAAAGCTTCTTAGACCAGCTCCTTTACATCATCTAAACCTCAAAACTAACATTACATCCTCAGAAAAGCCATCTCTAACTAAGTCAGTCATCCAGTGACTCTCTGTCACATTACTGGTTTCGTTTTCTTCAAAGCACATCATAAAAATGTCACTCATTTCCTTGCTTATTGCTCGTACCCACAAGAACGTAAATTCCATGAAAGCAGGGATCTTGTTTGTCTTGTTTAAGTGTCCTTAGTGCCTAGAGCAGTGTCTGACGCAAAGCAGATACTCAATAAACACCTGCCAAACAAAGTTCCACCTGGGATGGTGGAGAGGGTCCTGCTCCCTTCTAAGAGCAAGCTCACTTTAGAGGGAACCGTGGAAAAAAATAGTAAAAGCTGAGAAGGCGCCTGCTGGGAAGGGGTGGGGACACGCACGTCATTCTCAGAGGTGCCGCAGATATTGCAGCACTTGCACTCAATGCACTGCCAGCGGTAGGTCTTCACGGCTGCCATCATCACGGGGGTGAACTGCAGGCAAGACGGATGCCCTGTTGGGGAAGGGGAGGAGGAGTAAGTGAAAAAGGCAGCTGGAAACGGGGGAGAGGCGGGGTGACCTGGTTGACTGCGACAGCTACTGGATGCTGGCAAGCCAAGAGCCATCTGGGGGCTGTGACTGGGCGCTGGCTGTGGCAGTCCTTGCCCCTGGGTTGGAAGTACCTGAGCGGCCACAGTCAGAACAAGACACCAGCTCCTCGGGTTGTCCTGTCTTCTTGTTGATCTTTGAGTCTCCCAGGCAGAAGTCACAGTAGTTGTTGGGCAAGGCCAATCCATCGGGACCCTTCTTGGCTGTGGGGAAAAAACATAAGAACTTTAATGATAACCCCGGGGGTCTTAGGGCCTCTCAATATCTCTGAAAGTTTTTCATAACAAGGCCAACTCCTGCTGGCCCACTTCCGATGCTTTGGCTTACATTTCTGCTCCTCGGACCTCTGGGAAACCGGGGTGGGTGGCTGAGAGTCTTCCTTGTCCTCGCCCTCCTCCTCAGCCAAGTGGGAGTGGGCATAGTGGTAACTGAGGCCTGGTCGGTTCTTGTAACGTTTCCCACAGACTGATGGGAGAGAGAATGCAGAGAAAGCGTTAGGATCTGAGAGTGCCACGTCTCTGCCCTTCTGCCGCGGGGCTCCACCTGAGGCAGAGGCAACCACCCGCGCCCACTGGCTCTGTTCTGGGACACGCTTTTACTGACGACCACCTCCCCTTGGCCGGGAGCATCAGGCCCTGGGCCTGTCCAGCTTCTAAGGCTCTTCTCCCCACTAAACCCCCATCCACGGCCGCCTCTACTCCCCCACATTGCTGCCCGGGGAAGGCTGAGCCTTGGCTCCACCACCAGTTGCCCTAGGAATAGTCTAGGGAGCTCCAGGAGAGGAAGGAAAGGGAATTTCTACAGTCTTGCAATGTGGCAGGAAGGAGGAAAAGTGAGAAAGAGAATCTAAGTTTTTTTCCCTCTTAGTAAATATGAGAGGCTCAGGCTACCCCAGATACACTGCAGAGCCCATCTCTGCCCAACGTGGGTAAAGGAGTAGAGGCTGGGTCTCTTGGGGATAACCTATCGAGTCTTTGGGGTAGCTGGCCCCCAAAGAAATTCATAGACACTCCCAATCAGTGCACTGCCCAACCCCACCAACCAGCAAGGAAAGCAGATCCCCACGAGGCATCTTGTACTTTTGAGCAGTGATACCAAGAAGAGCAAGGGCGCCGGCAGGAAAGGAATGGGGAGAGGGCGGGAGGAGGAGGAGCGGAATGGTGGAGAACATTAGCTGACCACCAAGAATCTGTTTTGGGGAAGGGGGAACAGACGGATCTGCTATAATGGGTTCCTTACAATGCTTTTAAAGCCACCCCATGCAACGGGCCTGAGCAGCCCTAGGGGCAAGTTTGTGGGAGACGAGCAGTGATAAAGGCAACTTCTAGGATTTTGAGGACTGGAGCACAATAGAAGGTCCATCGCTCCTATCCCCGGGCCAGTCCAGAGATTTTTAAACTAGCATTACAGGAGATGAGAAAGGCAGGAGGAACAAGGGAGGAGGGAAAAAGGGATAGGAAAACCGAAAGTCTGAAAAGTTGAGAGAGCTACCTCTCTGGGGCGCTTTCGAGGTATGCTTTTGTTTGAAACTATCTGAAAGACAGAAAGAAAAGTCATGAGAAGAAGAGGCCTTGATACACTTGAGACAGGAGCAGCAGCAGCAGGAAAGCGGAACAAACAAGAGAGAAACCCCAGCGACGACGGTGCTCCCAGGGTGGAGGGGCAGAAGCGGGGAGTCAGAGAAAAGGCGGGGGCGAGAGCAGACGTTGAAAAACTCGGTGTTGGACTCCTGGGGCCCTGGCTTGACTGGGGCCAGCAGACCTGGATGTCTTCTATCAAGAGACTGACTCTGCCTGCTGTGTGCCCCCTCACCGGCACCCCCATCCCAGGGGAACAGCAGAAGTCTCTCCCAGAGCATGCAGGTCCCACCCGTCAGGCAGCAGAGCCCGGGGCTTCCCAGGGGTCTCAGAAGGAACCAGTCGTCAGGCAGGACAAGAGTCCAGGCTTGTTTTACCATTCTGAGCAAGAACACAGCCCTCCCTCCTCACATCCTGAGCAGGAGCTGGGTCCAGGCAAGGACTACCCACCCACTCGGGAGGCACTCACTGTCGCAGGCATAGGGCTTGTCCCGGTCCTCCAGGATGGAAGCATCCAGCTTCTTACGGGCACTGCCCACACCTTTACCCTGCCGAGAAGGGCAAAAAGATGCTCTTAAGGTGTGCAGGCTAACGAGATAAATTCTCCTGGAAGTGGCTGCCAAGCTCCCTTGCCTCAGGCTGCAGGAAGCGCCTCGACGCTCACCTTCGATTTCCCCTTGCCCCGACGCTTGGGAGTGTCTTCTTCATAGTCCTCATCATCAAGGTCATCCAGGTAGTCATCTGGTTCTAGGATCCGCTGAGTGGACAGGAACATTAAGATGGACAGAAATAACATACACCCAAAACCTCTCAGACGATGACACTGGCAAGGCCACCCAGAACCTCCCCTGTGACCCAGCCCCTCTACGCCAGCCTCGTTCTTCACTGCTGCCCTCCGACACCCTATCATCTCATTCCTTCTCCCGTCAGTGCTTTGGGCTTTCCTTCCTCTTGCTGCTCTTCACGTTCCCTAAGCCTGGAATGTCTTTCCCACCATCCCCAAGTGGCTGGATCAGATGCCATGTTTCCATTCAGCTTTCCCTGATGCCCCGAGGAGCCATGCCCTCTCCTGCTTCTGACCTGCTGCCCAGGAGCACGTTTACTAGCGGTTCCCTTCCGGCACCTCGCTCCCTAGATGTAGAGCTTTGTTGCTCAACTGTGTGGCCTTGTGTGTGTGTGTGGTGGGGTTCTGTTTACTGCTGAGTCAGCCTCCCTATACATGAAAATGGGGACCACAGCACCTACTTCATGAGGTTGTACAGACTGTAGAAAATGATGCAAATGCACTCAGTGCGGTGCCCAGAGTATTTCCAGCTCTTAATATTTTTATGTATAGTTTTATCGTCCCTGTTGACAGGGGCCAGGTCTGCTATACCTATGTAACCCCAGGCACCAAAAGTTTTTCATGACAAAAGATGAATGTGGGAGAGTCTGTACTTAGAAAGGAGCAGGAAAGACTGGACAGTAACACTGAAGCCAGTCAGTCAGGAGCAACAGTGCTTAGGGCAAAGCAGGACCACCACTCCGGGGGCCTGCCTACTGGCCCGCTGCCTCGGCTCCCATTCTGATTACTGAGCAGCCTCTGATGAAGAGGGAGCTGGTTTTCATCAAAGTGCCCTTAGCCAGAGTGTTAATCTTGTACCTTCCGTGCTCGACTGTTGGTCACAGGAAACTCGCCCAGGCTGTCATCATCGACGCGGGGATCTGGGGCACCTCGCTTCTCCAGGGGGTCGGTGCGCAACAGAGCCTCTAAACTACTGCCGTCCTGAGAGATCAGCCCCTCCTTCTTCAGGGTCTGGTCTGTGTCTGCAGGCAAGGTCAGGATAAGGCAAGGCCCAGGAGAGCTGGATGCGGACTGCTCTGGGTCTACTGTGATAGGTCAGCCACAAGCCAGTCACCATCTTCTGGTCTCTGGCTGCCCAGGAACCAAGACACCCTAGTCCACTTGGTACCATAACTTATCTGTTTACCTATCTCTTTTGTTAGACTGAGTTCTTTGAAAAAAGGAACTATATCTTATTCACGTTAATATCTTCAGGATCTCAGCATTAGCCTGGTGCATCACAGGAGCTTAGCAGGCCTCTTATCACGCAGCAGGCCATGCCTCTGCTCAGAGAGGAGTGTGCTTTACCTGGTTTAATAGATGGGAAAGAAAGTCTTGGGTCCTCAGGAGGGTGGGCTCGCCGCTTTTTCCGCCAGCGCCGGGCAGGGTAGGAGTACAGCTGCCCAGAGGCCAAACCTGTGGAAAGAAGAAAGAGAGGGAGTCAAGCCCTAATCTGGTCCTAGAAAAGAATACTGAACATTTTCTAGATGAGTAGGACGCACCTGAGTTCTAGAGCAAAGGAGGAATATGGGCAGTGCTGGGGGCAGGGGTGGGGTGGGACAGTTTATGGAAAAGAACGATAACTATGAAGTCAGGGGCCCTGGCTAACACACAGCTCTGCAGAGGCCAACTAATGGCCTCCGAAGGGCAGCCCTGCAGAAAACCAAGATGCTGGTGTGAATCTGTCTGCTGCTTCTTCCCTGGGCTTCTAATCGTGGAAAGGCCATGGGTGGAAATGGGGAAAACACTCTCAGCTGGCTCAACCCTAAAATGAGGGAGCTTCTGCCTCCTTGTGCTCCTGACTCTGGACCCTCACCTGGACCCCGATGTCGTTTTTCCATCCAGATGTAACAGTTGCTCTGGGCTACTCCGGTCTGTGAGTCCAAGAAAGGCAGGCGCACACTACGCTCAGCACAGAGGCGGGCATTGTAATTGTGGCACTGCTCCATGGCATCTTTATAGTATTGCTCCCCCAGGCTGCAGGAAAGATAAAATCAGGCGTGTGTGTGTATATACGTGTTGGGGGTAGGGGCAGAGCACAGCGTGCTGAACTATCCGTCTCCCTTGCCATCTGGTTCCTTAGAAGGCTCAAGGGACTGGGAGATTGTTGCTTTGGTTCTATCTGCCTCCATTTCTGCCTCAGGGGACACTGAGCCCCTTCACGAAGCCATTACGAGAAAAGGCACTTTACAAATAAATTACCATCAGGAACACATGATTTCATCATGTGTCTAATCAGACTTAAGTCTAACCCACAAAGAGAAGAAACTAATGTTCATTCTGTGCCTCTCACGAGTCCAAACCCTGTACTGCTCAAGATGTTTTTTCTCTTAACCCCCATGACTCTAAGTGAAGGTTAGTCCCTTTTTACAAAAGAGGGAAAAAATTCAATAAGGTCTGGGGGACTTACTAAAATATAGTTAGCAAACTACAGTATATCTGTAAAGTTCTATTTAGACATAAAAAAGAAGG